GATCTTTGCAAGAATGAAACAATAATGAAGCAAGAATGAAACCAGGGGGGATTTAACGTGGACTGCGTCAATTTAAACGTTGTATTGAAGCCAAATGGCCGCAGTAAAAGAATTTGCCATCATCTGGTGAGATTGACCTACTATTATCTAATCACTCTTATACGAAATTGAAGTCTTCATAAAAAATCTAGTAAGTCACCAAGTAAATTAATTACATCATAGTAAACAAATAGGACCAAAGTCAATGGTATCAATGAGTAAGACAACATAGCATCACTAATTAGAGGTAGTTCTCATGTCATTAGTATCTTCCTGAATGAGATTGCAACTATCCTCCTCTCAGGAAGCATTACATCATAAACTACCTAAAGAGTATGATATCACTAAGTGAGCTTTGGTAACCTATTTCCTACAATTTTTACCTATGATGCCCAACTCATTTATGATGAGTACACTTAATTAAAAACGTTTCATACCAAGATGTATATACTTAACTGAGGCCAACTCAGTTCTTGGATAAAAAAATATGCGATGTCAAATAATAATAATAATTCAAGAGGTATTCATGAGTAAGGAAACATACAGTGAGTTTCTCGGATTTTTCTAGTGTAGAGTGACGCTGACGTCCAGGGCGGATTCGCTGATAGATTGAAGCCCAAGCTTTAGCCCCACCTATTTCTTCTGAGATAATTATGGAATTGGGTCCAGGGGCAACGAGAACGCTACAAGGAGGCAGACGACCACCGGGACCCAAGCATACTGGGAGGGAATGCTGCTCCAGGTCTAAATAGCAGGCCAATGGTGAAGAATCCGTGGATTTAATGCTAGGCTTAGATAAGCAAAATGAAGATCCAGGTGGTCCAACAAAGCATTGCCGGCCCAATCGAACACCATCCAAAATACGGGCGTGGTGACAAAGCCATGCGACGTCTGCGTAGACATTCTGACCAATTTCAACATTTTCTGCTGCCACAACACGCCGAAGCTGACTAGAATGACCAATTTTACAGCTAAAGAATGAAATAATACAGGTAGACGATGATTTCATTATTAACAATACTTGCCATACACGTACAGACATAGCTAAATAATAAACATATATATTAACTAAATTAGTTGAGACAGGACGATAATAAGGTTCTGCAGGTATATGTTTTACTGGCTTGCGATATTATTAAGGCAAGTGAATAAGAATAAAATAGTTAATGGAGGTAACCTACTTATTACAATTGAGTGAAACGCAGCATATTCCTAATTCGGTGAATGACAGTCGTATAAACTGAATAAATGAATTATAAGGTCAAATTATGAGTCCTTGCAATGACGAAGAGTTCATTGAACTGTGTTCATGATTTAAATAGTGAAATGCAAACATAGAATGAGCATTAGCGCACTATCGTGATATGCATGAGAGGATACATCGGGAGCCTGTTGCAATGGTGCTGCTAACGGGGGCTTGATATTATTATTATTTCTACAAGGCATAAGCTTATTTAAAAATCGAGGATATACGGCTCACATGGCAAAAGCCAGGGAGTCTACAAGGCCCAGAACTACTGAGCCAATAATAAAATGGTCCAAATGTTGTACCAGAGCCGATCTAGTAATCAAGCACTATCAAGGGAGTATCAGGCCTGCAGACTGGTTTGGGCGTCTAACAAGGATCACAGCAGATACACGTACATATTAAGGAATATGTAAGCAAGAAAAACTGCACAGCAAGAGGATCGTTTAGCCGCGGTATAATGGTATTAATAATAAACAAGCCAGATGTTTCTCAGGCATTATAGTCGGTATTGTCAGTTAGAGGCGCCATTGTTAGCACAGTTAACTGTGCACAAGTGACAATTCAAGTTAATCCCTTCGACCCATTTTCTGTCTAACTGTTGTGGCACCACTCCTCGCCCATATTTTTGCCCTAACCGCTAGTGCTGCATTTCTCTCAACCCAAGTTCATTCCGTCCATTTACCTATTTACACCACTCTGTGCTCTCATTTCCTCCAATGCCGCCAAAAAATTTCGCTTCAAGTAGATTTAGTGAGAGTAATCATCTTCACCACTGGTTTCAGATGCCATTTGAAGGATATGACTTCCATTTAATCCCCCTCCCCTCTACCCCGCTTGTCAGTTGTTTTATTATACATAAAAATCACCGCCCGTCTATCTATGACTCTTCAATTCCCGTCGCCGCTTAAGTCATATTCGAGGATTTAAAGACCGGTGATTCTCATGCCCAGACATCTCCTTCATCCTAGGCTTTAGACCCATGACCAAGTTATTCTCTTCCTCATCGCAACCCTATTGTAACCCATTCTTTGGGGCCCTATTTTTGGCTAAATTCGGAACTTCAGTTATAATAATAGGCCACTCCCCATTTCCAACTCCTGAATCATATAAAAAACATCCCTCTTGTCTCTCAAATAGGACAATCCTAAGGTTCTAGTCAGCTGTTCATTCGGTTGATTATCCTCCCTAATCAGGCATGCCACTAGTCGCCTCTAATTAAGGCACATAAAGAATTTCAAACAAATAAAATGGGGAACAACTAACATTGTGCTCCCCAGGTCGGTTTACACATCCATTTAATTTTATATGGGCCTATATATTTGGTCTGGCACCTCTAATGATGTACAATCTGCACCGGCCACACCAACTTGGCCTTCATACATACGATTATTCAGATTGGCTTATAAAACGGTGCTTAACCTTTACTAGCTTTCTTATTAATAAAAAAAATTTATAAAAGAGTTCAAACTAAATCTTTGTTTACATATTTGAAGTAACCTAGGAACACTATAG